GGTTTACATGTTCAGACAGGCAGGGTGGCTCAGGCGTGCTTAACCAAACAATCCGGAACAACAGTCCGGCTCAGAGGGAAGCTCTCCTTCAACTTAAGTAAGGAGAGCTTAATGAGCAGATGGGGATCAGCTGTGAGCGCTGAGCACCAGCTCCCAGGAAAGAATCCACGGCGCCCTCTGGTGGGCAAGCCTCTGGATCCCAACAGATAAACAGAAGCCCACAACAAGGGATCCACATCGCCCTCTGGAGGGAAAACCTCTGGATCCCAACAAGTTCGATGGCCAATCCTCCCTTTTCAAGTTGGCAATCCAACAACAAACCCGTCCGTGGAGGACCATGAATCAGAAAGGTGAAATAACACATTTTTTTTCACCTTTACCTGATGTATTACAACATCCAACTGCCATGCACGTGGGCATTGTCAGTTTAACTATAGATCTAGTGAATTTCAATGGTGAAGTCCTCTCGAAATCGAAAATAATTGTTGCTTATTGCAGATGTGTCTAGTAGTTTGCTTGTAAAGCGATAGAATTGCTTTTGGCTTACCGCACCGTGACGTCACTGCGAGAGGATGTTGGGAGTGAGGCGTTACTATATTTGAACAAAAATGGCTGTTCCCAGACACGGTGATCGCGATGAAAAATATTTATTTATTTTTTTACTGATTCACGCTAAATGCTAAATTCATTAAATCACCGCTAACGTATTAGTTTTAGGTATTAATAATGATCCATTGGTTATTCCTTGCTGACCCAACTTTTCCTTTTAGAAGGGCAGCCTGCAGTGATTTCTTCTGGGTAAAAACAGAGTGCATCTTGCTGGTTTGTGTTTGACAAAAGAGCAATCATATGACCCATTCTCTTTTTGTGTAGTTATTAGACTTCTTAGTTATCTTTTTGTATGTTGCATACTGAACAGTTTTGTACGGCCAAATTCTAAACCTTAAAAGCATTTAGCAGGTAAGGGCTAAATGCCTAAATCCCTTACTGCCTGGTAGTATGTTGAGTTAACCGCAACAACATTGAAATGATTAGTCAAATTTTTGTTTCTTTCTCCCTAGTGAGACAGAGTACAGGCACAAGAGGAACACAGCAGAGATCACATGCAGCTCAAATTATGTTTTTTTTAATGAAATATTTCTGGGAACCCCGGCGGACGGGGGCAGGGAGCCAGCGGGGGAAAGAGCGACCGAATCCGACCCGGTGACGGTAGCCTGGATACCGGCCTGCCTTCCGGGCCTTCCGTCATCTGGTTGGGTTTGGAACAGCCCCGGAGCTGATGGCTCAGTTGGAATGCCTGCTCCGGTCCGGTCAGTGGCCCAGCAGAAAAAAAAAGTGTCCTCCTTTTCAGAAACCCAAATCTGGTCACCCTAAGTTGTCCTAACTGTCTTACCCTGCTTGTCTATAAGTAGTAGCAGCCTCAGGCAAGTCGGATGGACATTTTTGTACTTTGAACTATCATCAGAAAAGTTCATTCAGATAATAAAAAAGAAATGTGTTCTTCTGCTGGAATATCGAATTCATGTCTGGTTGAAAAAAATATTTTCATTTCAATTTTTTATGGTTGGAAATTAGGTCAGATGGTTGGATGGATAAATGGATTAATAGATGGATGTTTACAATAAAAAAATGGCATTTTTGCATTTACAGTGCAAGAACAATGGATTAGGCCTAACGCTGCATTTTCAGAAAACCATTAAGCAAGAAAGACTAACTGAAAGCCTGCACACCAAACATACACACATTTATTAGTGCAGCAGTTTTTCTTCTTCTTTTTTGACGTGTGCAACTTTTAGATCCAGCATACAACCAAGTCATGGTTGAGATGTGTGTGTCTTTTGCACTGTTTCAATTTTCCAGAGAGCAAAAAATGTTGGCCTAAGAAGTAGTGGAAAAATCTAACGTGGTCAGAGTGGAGATTGAGAGACAGTCTATTTTTCTCTGTAAAAAGCTTTACTAAACTACACTGAAACTACAGTGACTCATCATTCAGGGTCTTTTTGTTCAGGATTGATGATTCATCCAACTTTACAGATGCACATCAATCTGTTGCAAAAAGGTTTCAGTTAAAATAACTACTGGAAATAAGTTAAAATTAGGATCCTGTAGGTTGTTATTTTGGCCAAACATGGGTTGAACATGTTAAAGATTTAGATACAAATACAGCAGAGAACATTGAGGTCTTGAACAGGGAAAACAAGACATGGATCACAGAGGAATGGACAATAAAGCAGCAATATACTGCAAAGGATAATAAAAAATGCAGGGGCATCAATACTAAAACAGAGATGGAAAATTATAAAGGAACCAGATTAACTAATCAGAGGAGAGTTGAAAAATCTATGGCAAAAAGGAAGCAGGTACTATAATAGACAAAGAGCAATTATTATTTTTTTATTCTTTTGCGTATAAGTCCTGTTTTTTTTGGATTTCCAAGTAGATTTCCAAGAGATAGATGATAGCCCAACAGCTTTGCTTTCACAAGCAGACCATTATGACATTTGCCATAAAGTTCCGCTTGATACTTGTATATTAAACTTTACTGAAAATTATTTAGGGTGTAAAATTGTATATAGAGGACCTCAAGAAAGAAAGGCAGGTGAGACAAAAGGCGGCATAACAACTAAGGGGAGAGAGAAAGAGATAGTGGCAGGAACAAATATGTGAGAGAGAATTAACCCTATAATGCCAAATGTATCATATTTGATACAAACGGTTTCTGAAATGTTTTGGGTCTGACACCTTTTGCATAATTTAATGGTAAAAATGTTGCTCAAAATCCTATTGTACGCAATCAGATATACCTGATAACAGAGGGCAGAAGACTACACAAAAAATTATTTTGACTTATCGCATAGTAATAAATTATTAATATCAAAAATTTATTTCATTTTTTTCTTTTTACATATTTTGTTAAAAGGCCAAATAAGGACAAAAAAGGTAATTTTTCTCTTTTGTTTTATTCTCGGATCGGGCTTTAAAGGGTTAAACAAAAATAGACAATACAGAAGATATACAATAACTCCTGGAAGTCTGCTTTCACACCTGTATGAGATGAGAGGAACACAAAACAGAGAATATAACAAAAGTAAAAAAGAGGACAACAGAAAACCATAGTAAACATCAAAAAAGCTTTCAGAGCAGTGGGTTTCCCTTAGATATCCATGTGTGTGAGAGGGCAAAAAATGCTGATTACACACTATTTATCACAGTGGAATATATCTGTAGCTGCAGTTTAGTATTTAGTATCAGTTTTTATCCATGAACATCTGGAATAAAACGCCCCTGGTACATATTCATGAGCATGCTCGTTGATAAAGGATTTACAAAGCTTCTTCCAAGGACAAAAAAGTTTAATAGCTGGTGTGGGTGGCCCCAGGCTCAACCTACAGGACCTGCAGCACCTGGAAGGGCACAACACTAAAAACACTAATTCTAACATTTTGAATTGAAAAAAACTTTCTGGATGGGAAGTGAATCATCTTCAAACTTAGAAACAAAGTCCAGTGGATTGTTTTTTTTTTTAACTTTTATGGAATGGCTGTGACCTGGATTACTTTCTTCACCAGCATACATCAATAGTCAATCACAGAAAACATGATAAAAGATGGAGCAGGTGCCCAAAATCCAATTCTGCTTTTAGAGCCATTAAACTATTTTGCTTGCAGTGTTGGGCACGTTACTTTGAAAGAGTAATTAGTTATAGTTACTTCTCCCAAAAAGTAAGTGAGTTAGTAACTGAGTTACTCCACAATAAAAGTAACTAGTTACTAGTAAAAGTAACTATTGCGTTACTTTTGCGGGTGTATGAAATTAATAACTGGGGATGTCTAATTCTGAAATCCTGTGTTTGGGATGTTAGAAATACTGCAACATGAAGCTCCATCCATCCATCCATCCATCCATCCATCCATCCATCCATCCATCCATCCATCGATCCATCCA